TTAAAATTAAATAATTATTATTAAATTATTAAAGTTAAATTATTAAAGTAAATCATTAAAGTTAAGTAATTATTATTAAATCATTAAAGTTAAATCATTAAAGTTAAGTAATTATTATTAAATCATTAAAGTTAAATCATTAAAGTTAAGTAATGATTATTAAATTATTTAATTTAAATCATTAAAGTTAAATAATAATCATTAAATCATTAAAGTTAAATAATTATTATTAATTTTTTAAATTTAAATCATTAAATTTAAATAATTATTATTTAATATGTACTCGAGTAATTGAATCGAATACAATATACAAATTTATAAAATAATAAGATTACTACTGAGGTCTATACTATGGAAGGTTTGGACAATTTCTTTTTGAATGACCTTTACCTTTACATAATCCACACTTCTTCGGTTGACCTTTCTCTCTAATTTGTATATCTATACTGGTATGAATACGAGTAGATTTCGGTCGACCTGACAGATTTCTACGAAGTAGTGGATTTGGCAACCATTCATCATGATTTTGATTCTCCCAATAAGATTCATTTGGGATCGGTCTGAACTCATGGGTGTATATATTTAATATCCTTTGTAGGTGAAAGCACTCATCAACGTAAGTGTATGAATTGATTCCAGTATGCATACATGCAGCGACTGCATGAGCACACGGATATCTCCACGCCTGAAAGTGACCACAATCACACCATCTTTATCGTAAATTAACAGTAAATGATTCTCGATCTGCTCCTTCATTTCGACGTATGCATGCGATGACAACAAAAATATGTCCAATTCGATCGAAGTCATGAACAAACATTGAGGTTGTCATACGCTCATTTGCTTCCATTGCTTCAACCACCGTCGAAGCCCAGATTTTACCGCGATTTATCAGACACTCGATCTCTTTCCCTTTATCAGACCAAACTTTAGCTAACCTAAAGTATGTCTCTTTCACCACACTCGCTATTGGGAGATGGTTTGTACCTTTTAGTACTGAATTAATGGCCTCAACAAAGTTTGTAGTCATGTGTCCGTATCTCCGACCACTATCGTATGCTTGCGACCACTTCTCATGCTTGATTTTCGACGCCCAGTTCCAAACGCGCTCATCTATGGCCTTCAAATCCTCCAATCTCTTGTCGAAATTTGGTTGGCGTAGTTCATATCCTGTTTCAAAATAGATATTGTGTTAAAGTCAATTTATAAACAAATACATAAATTGGTATAAATGCTGAAAATAAATCTTACACATGCTGACTATCTCCCTACGAATACAGTCGTTATGAAACTTCTCAATACAATTCTTACCAATATGACGGATACAATATGCGGGAGATGCGTGCGGAGGTGTCCAACGATTACCCGGTCATTCAATTGTTGCCAAAAGGCCTGTTCCTTGATCGGATATTAAGGAAACTCCTTCTTCTCGGACGACATACTTACGTAGATCAGTCAGAAAGAAATCCCAAGCCTCTGTCGTCTCTTATTCAACGATGGCGAATGCAATTGGGAATATACTTCGTTGACCATCCTGCGCAACTGCTATCAATAATATATGTCTGTATTGACCGTATAACCACGTGCCATCTAATTGGACCATACGTTTGCAAAATGGAAAACTTTTTATGCATGACTTGAATGCCCAAAAGAGTCTATGGAATATTCTCTTCCCTAGAACAAGTTGACCTTCTCGGTTGTATGCAGGCATGGTCTGAGACTTCACGATGGTTCCAGGTATGAATTATTTCATAGCTCGTAACAAATCAGGTAACTCATTGTATGATGTATCCCAATCACCATATATCAACCTCCTTGCCTTCTCCTTCGTATGCCAAATAGGTTTGTATTTTACATTGTATCCGAACTGGTCTCGAATAGATGCAGCTAACACCGAGCAAGGGATCCTTGGATTTTGTTCAACCAAAACCTTCACATATTGATAAATTACATCGGAGTCCAGTAGTCGGTGGTCTTGTTCGATAGAGTTTTGCAAACATGTGTGTGAACCATTGTACCTTGTGATGACCCAAACATCTTGCCTCTGTATTTTGGACACTCTAACCAGTCACTTACACTCAGGCCCATATTTAACACACTTTGCGTACAACGTTTTCTGGTTGGACTATACAACCTTGCAATCTACATGGCCTCTTATGCAATACTCTTTAATCGCTAGTGTAGCTTCTTTTTTTCCTCTATATTGCTTCCCAATTGATAATTCACCAGAGTTATCGGATGATTCAATCATGTAGCCTAAAGTTAAATTTGGCATCTCTGGGAATTCAGGTGCCTCATTGCTTCATAATCAATCTCCTGCATGTGAGGGGTAGGTTGACACGGTGTCAGATATTCACTAATATTGATATCAGCTTCATCACCATCGAACATGACGTTATCCTCAGTCAAATGAGGTTTCTCAGTTTCTTCATCTTCACTGGAATCATCAAGTATTTCTTCCCATCGGTTTTCAGCATCATATTGTGCGGCTCCAGATGTTCCACCAACTTCATTTGTAGTTTCCAACATCGCCACAAAGTTGTTCATCGACCTATATATCGGGTTATCGAAATGTCTCTCGAAACCCATTTGATATGAAGTTCCAACCGCATTGCTCGATGACCCAGCACATTAGATATATTACACAACTCAACAAATAACTCAATAATTGGAATATTAGTTGAGTCATATAATTCAACCATAGTTATAATATCATCATCTTCTTCAAGTGGTATTGCAGCATACCTGACCGGATTGGGACATACCATAAATATGTACCTCAAACCATCAACTTTAGCACGGATTTTTCTTTCTATCCTCACCTTCATCTCTACAAATGTGATGTCCCTTTTAAACATCATATTTATAGGTTCTTCAGACTGAAAAATAATCCCGACCTCATTTTCCGTCATATGTCCATTGTAATGGACAATCGTGAAAAATTTGTTACTCATTTTCTCTATACATTAAAATAAAGATATTCACAATAAATTACATTCATAATTATAATGGAACAATTATAAAAATTACACAAACCTTACCAAATATTCGTTTTGTTTCTTCCTTTGTTACACCTTTTTTTCTCTTTTTTTCCCGGAAAAACTCTCGAACTTGCAAGCTTTTATTCTCTTTGTTTTCTAACTTCTCCCCTAATTAACTCTCCCATAGTGTCTATCCTCCTATTTATAAATGATATTCGGTGCATTGTTCACAGAATCACAACGCCACCATTATTGATGCTAATTGCTTCACAATGAAGATATTCTCGTCCCCATGCAAAAGTTTCTCTGCATCATTGCAATTCTCATCCCCCATACATACATAATTGATTCATTTTTTTAAAATTTATTGTTTTAGTGCCATGATCTGATTCCCGTCCCCTTTTTTTTACTTTTGCTTTATTTTTTAAAATCAATAGGTGCTACTTTATGGGAACAACATTATCATTGTTACAACCCATTAGCTCGCTTCATACTTGTTTTGCTGCAACATGCATGTCTTCTCGATTGGCTTCATCCTGGTTTCGCTGCAACATGCATGGCTGCTAAACCACGTTCATATATTTACATATAAGACGCCAAGCAATCCAAGTTTGAAGGAAATTTTTTCAATGAAAACGCCGAGACATCCTTCTCAATGAATGCAAAATTTACAATGAAGACGCCGAGACATCCTCTACTTAATCACATGCATTCTGCTAATCCCGACATCCAGGCCCCATGCATCTTTATCAGCTCACCCCGTCAATTCCCTCCTCACCACGTGAATTCCCTGCTCCAGCCCTACATGCACTGCTCACCCCGTGATTTCCCACGTCCAGGCCCACATGCAGATGAAGAACTCCCTGCAGCATGCAAGAGAAGTAGAAGACACCGAGACCTCCATGAATGGTGTTAAAGACCCCTAGACATCCATTTTGCACTTTGAAATCTGTTAAAGACGCCTAGAGATCCATGTTTCCTGTGTAAACCACCCCATTTGGGGAAATAATAGCATGGCAACATTATTTTGGGAATAAAAGTTTCCCACAAACATTATCTCGACAATTTTGCCTTAGAAATTGGGTTGAAAATATTTTTTAAAATTATAATTTCTAGAAATAAAAATGATGTTTTAAAATAGGGATAGATCTATTAGATACACTGACAGAATGGGCTGTCGAGAAATTTTTATTTAAATATTTATAAAATACTCTTTACTTGTAAAATTATATTGTATATCACATAATCATTAGTTGTGTAACTAAACTACAAAATGTTACGGTTTTCGGATAATCAAAATTGAAATAATATTTTCTTTTTCATTTTTTTATAATTATTTGACCACCGTTGGTCGTTTATTTACTAACAAGGTTCATCGTTGGTAGTTTCATTCAACGTTCTTCTTTATTTATTAAGGTAAAACATCATGTTTTAACGAGTCCTTCAACTATTAACCCTCAAGTATAGGAGAATATTTTATTAAAAAATATAAAATAATCACCATATTATTCATGTACTCTAAATTTATAGTTTTTTCATTGAAAAATAATTAATAAATTAAATTAAACATTAACATATTAATTATATGATAAAATTTAAATTGAAAATCATCATGAAATTGAAATATATTATCTTTTCCTATGGTCAATCTTATGTTTTTGATCTAATAGAAACATTAATAAACGTTAATGTATACAAAACTATTATATCAAATGCATTATTATAAACTTTAATGTATACAAAACTAGCATATCAAATGCAATAATAATGGATCCTTTTACCCATTAATTTAACACATTGTTTATCAAACTACTAAACTCGCAATTTAGATGAAAAATCAAATGAACCATTTAATCTCGTATGCCATTAATGAAGCAAAGTACAAGAAAACGATCCATCATTCATATTCATATTCACATTAATCTAAATTAACTAAAAAAACCAACTACTAACTGAAACTAGAAGTCCCCACAAAACATACTAATCGAACTACATACCAAAAGTCAAAAATCCCCGAGAGGCTTTTAGGGTAATCCAAACTCATCTGATTTAATCATCGTCGCCACCAGCGACCTTGGAGGTTCCGGTTTTCTTGGGGAGGAGGAGGTTGTGGATGTTGGGCATAACACCGCCGTTGGCAATTGTCACATCGCCCAGAAGCTTGCTCAGCTCTTCGTCGTTCCTTACGGCGAGCTGGATGTGGCGTGGCACGATTCGGGTCTTCTTGTTGTCTCTGGCCGCATTTCCAGCTAGTTCGAGAACCTGATACAAACGGGTAATTATAGAAAAGATTAGCAGATGGATTTTATCAAGATAAATAATATAATTTAGTGAGTTCATAGGTAAATAAGAACCCTAAGTTATCAGCTGTTTCGGAATTTTGGGGATAGGTAGTGAATTTTGCTAAAATAAAGGGTATATCCGAAGATGATACCTCACCTTCACGCTAATTAAATCGTTTTATCCTTTTTTAAAAAAATCTGATTAATAAAACGTGAAAAAAAATCCCAAAATTTGAATTAACAAAGTAAATTTGAGAAGAACATTGTTGATAGAAACCATATAAAAATGAAATATGAAAAAAACCCCTCAATATTCAGGGAACAAAAGTCAGAAAATCTCAATTAGGTTACAAATCAAAACTTTCTAGAGAAATTTACCGACAATTTCTTAGCAAAAAGGAGGGGAATAAAGAAAAGATATGAGAAAATTCGAATGAAAGAAGAAAAGTTATTGTACCTCAGCGGCTAGATATTCAAGAACGGCGGCGAGGTAAACCGGAGCCCCAGCTCCGACCCGCTCAGCATATTTCCCAGCCTTAAGGAACCGAGCGATACGACCCACCGGAAACTGAAGACCGGCCTTGCTACTCCTCGATGTTGCCTTCTTCGACGCTCCAGAACCGAGAGTCTTGCCCCGACCCGCCATTTGTACCAGAAACGAACAAGTAAAACTTAGAAATACAAAATTTAGAGCGTTGAGAAGAGAAATAGAAAATCAGTGAAATCTTTTGCCGCTTATTTTGGGTATATATAGAGGAGATCGTGAAGAAGTAATCCAATGGAAAGCGAGTACGAAGATCAATATTTATGACTGTAGGATGACAATTAAATGGACGGTTTGGATCTGATAACAGAACACCGCTTCTGTCTCTTTATTATTAGGCTAAATCATAATTTCATCACTGCATCACTTTTAAATTTTTAATTTACTTACGGGGCTTTCGATTTATTTTTGTTTGTCATTATGCTATTGCATACTTAATGGGCTTTCGATTTAGTCTGGACTTAATATGACTACTTGATATAATTCGGTATCATACCACATATATATGTACATATATAAAAGGATATATCGAGAAGGGTTATAAAGGATTTTTTTAAATTTTAAATTTTCGTATAATTTAAGAATATTTTTATATTATTGTTTTGATAATATGATTTCAGTCTCCTAAAATTTTATAAATTCATTTTTTTAAAATTTATTTTAATCATTTGGAGTGATTATAATATAATATATTATAATATTTCTTAATCATTGACAATACATCTGCAGACACAATCGTTTGATTCTAGGATCTCAAAGAAGAATAATACTCTCTTTAATTATTGAGCAAATTCCCACCCCTTTAAAATTATATATATATATATATTTAAGCAGGGACGAACGCAAGATTTTGTGTTAGAAGAGACGAATTTATAAAATTTTAAGTATGGTAGAAGTTATAAAATTTTAGGAGAATATATTTCCAATAGAAAATACAATGAAAATATCTAAAATATATATGAATATGGAATTTTTAAAGGAGCAACCGTTCCCGCCACCCACTAGGTCCATCCCTGGATTTAAGCATAAATTCATGTGTTTATCCTTATTTATATAATATATATCCATGCAGCTTCCTGGAAGTAGGGTGGTTACGCAATGAAGTGCAAGAAGCACAGCATAGAACCATAAAAATCTATCTTAATTGTCTGCAATGGCCACTCTCTCCTTCCTGGGAAACCTCCCCCATCTTCGCCCCGCCTCCAAGCCCTCTATATAAATCCCCTCCCCTTTTAACTCCCAAACTACTACTACCAACAACAACAACAAAACCTAAACTCTAAACCCTGCTGCTGCTACATGGAAGAAGTGGTGGTGGATTTCGAGGACTACTTTCCTTCGATGATGGAGAGATACGGGGAGGAAGGGTTGTTGATGGAGCTGTACAAAGGGTTCAGGCTGCTGATGGATGGGGAAAGAGGGCTTATAACGTTCGAGAGCTTGAGGAACAAGAGTGTGGCGTTGGGGTTGAGTGATTTGAAAGACGAGGAGATCGTTTGCATGTTGAGTGAAGGGGATTTGGATGGGGATGGGGCTTTGAACCACCTTGAGTTTTGCTTTCTCATGATTAGGCTGAGTCCCGCTTTATTCTTGTATGCTCCGTGACCGTGATGAGATTTAGAGGAGGATTTCTCACCTTTTCATTTTAAATTATTATTTCAATAAACTTTAACTTTATTCCCCTTCATCTTTATTATTCTATTTTTTTTTCTTGACTACAGTCTTAATGTAACATTCTTTCTTCATAAAACCAAACATTCACTATAAATAACATTATTTAAACTCGAATCATCTCAAAGAAATATATCATCCTATATTAATTAAAATTATCTATAAAATTCATTTACTTGAAAAAATGACTTATAGGTACTAACGATTCTCCAACTTTTGAAAAAAAACGATCAAGTCTATGAACATTTTTACATTCTATTAAATCTATTTATTTAAATTTTATCAATAAATTCTTTGATTAACATTGACCCTTTAAATTTTTAATAAGTTTTTTGAATAAATCAATATTACATCACATGTTGTCAAAGTAACATTTACTTTGTTAAAAAAAACATTTACACAAATTTATTAACTTTAGAAACAGATTAAAATTATTTATAATTTAATTATTTTTAATGTTTTTCCTTTAAAAAGGGAGGAGAAAACAATGTATTATATGCTAGTGATATTCAAGAAAAAACAATTAAAACTTGGTTAAAATTGATAATTAATTTAACTCGAAGATTCATTTGGGTATAATAAAAGTTCAAATGGCTTAATTGTTTTCTTTAACAAAAATAGTATTTGAGGACTTCATGCACCCTTAGGCCAAAAACAAAACAATTTAGGGTAAATATAGTAATAACTAGCCATCAAAGCATCAATATAGTTAGTTGCACGAGAAAAAAAAAGTGAATTCATATCATGGGAAAAATTATATGGGGACTAAAATGTATGAAAGTGCAATGTTATTGGAGCCAACTCTATAAAAGACCCAAAGGAGTACCTAAAGTCTCCCAAGTGAAATTCAGCTATTGATTCTCTCAAAAAAGTACAAGTAACCCATGTCCTTGGGTGGATTGATTGAAGCACCAACCTTATCATCATTGAATATCACCCATCTACCATCTTTCAGGATGTGAGCAACATAATGTCCAAACTGAGTCGAGGTTCCGATGTGACTCACTATCCCAAAAAGCCGGTATCCTTGCATTAATCAAACATTGCAACGAGTAAGAAGTCTAGTGTGAAACACACAAACAATATAAGTTGAGATTCGGAGAAAAAGACTCACTCCCTCCTCCGTCGGGCAGTCCTGCATCAACCGGAGTAGGTGTGCTGTTACTTGATGTATCAGCATCCATAGTTGATGCAGCAGCATAGGCATTGGGATTGTTAAATATCCAATCTGTTGCTTTTTCAATGTCGCAACCCTGTAGAAACATAGATTTTCCGACATAAGAAAACAGATTATGGAACAAGTTCCAAACCCGCAAAAGAAGTGAAATGCTGTGAAGACTTTACCGATGCCTTCAATGCCATTCGAGCAATTTCTTCTTGAAAGCCAAATGAAACCAAAGTATCAACTGCTGATTGGTCGATAGACGTCTCAGCACCTTTCGCACCATGGGAGATAGGAGCATCAATATCTGAAAAGATAGATCAATGATTACCACTTGGATATGATGCTATGTAACAGCTACAAAAAAATGCAGATCCTTTGCAGAAAGATTCAAAATTATGCTTATAATGCTAAATCCTGAATACCCGGATCATCCATGTGTGAAAGCAACCAGTTCATGGCCTCTTCCACACCAGCATTTGAAGTGTTTATGGCAGCTTTCTGACAATGAAGCTGGTTAAACCCCATTGAAGCAAGCTGGGCAACAATTGCTTCATCAGCAATGGGTTGACTTGATTCCGCCTCAACCTCAGGAGCTATGCAGTAGAAATAACAGATGCCAATAAGAAAAATTACAAATCAATAATTTCTTTTAGATCATCTTCTCAATTCAATTAACATTCTTGGAATCCATTAATTCACATACCAGCCTCTGGCAACAGTTCTTCGCCGGGTTGAAGGCCTTTGCTGCACATATGGCTTATATCTATGATGTCGGGAACATCTATGTAGACATCTGAAAGGACAATATACATGATGAATATCAATTCAAAGTAACATGCAATGTAAGTAGCAACATCACGTCCACGTACCAAGCTTTTTAGGCACCCAGCCTGCCTCCATTACAAACTTCCTCATGTGCAATACCAAATAATCGGGGAATGAAGTTAAACCAGAAGTCCTGTTGTGTAAAATACAAAAGAGAAACAATAAGCCTCCGAACACTATACAATGCTAAAAAAGAAGAATAGGGTTGCTAGTCAGCAGCCTTTGATTAAAACACCATCAGTTAAACTATATTGTTATCCTTTCTTTAATGGGCTGACAACCCCATTAAAGAGCACAAATCTTACTTGAGAGCTGTTGTCTTAGACTTCAATGCAGAGCTATAGAAATTGGGTATCTCCTCTGGAGCTGCAAAGTTTGCTAAGCATGCTTCTAGAGGTACCCTTGGACGAACAATCTCATCATTGGATCTGTAAAACAAGGTAACCTAAGAAAAAGGTCTAAAGAAGGCTAAAAGTACCATATAAGGTCATTGGAACTTACACATCCTTCCCCTCTGACATCTTTTCAGATTTGATTTTGTTAAAAGCCTCCAGCTCTTCAGAATTCTCAGAGAAAAAGGCATTAGCATTTAACTTTTTAAACAGAAGAGAGATATAAAAGAAACACACACAAACATATATATAAATGTAGAAATCACAACTTACCTTTATTAGTAGCTTCGTGCAGTGGAATATTCAAAGAAAGAATGTAGTCAAGCCTTTTATTATAAGCAACCCTCCCAGATGAACACAAGATACGATCTTCAACACCAAACTTGAAACTACTCGAGGGATCCAGTTCAGGTTTTGCAGCATTAGAACGTTCAACTTGGTCAAGAAAATGAAGGAAGAACTCCAGGGCATCCTACAGACAATTCAAGTGTCCATATAAGTAACTGATGGCTACATATAGGGTAGATTATGAGCCCCAAGACACATCCTAATGTGCAATGAGAGGATTAACACACAAGCCCTATTGCAATGACAAATGCTGTCAGTTATTCACATTGCCATATCTATCCTTAAAACTTTTACGTCATTTTCTGTATGGAATCTGAAAGAACCATTTTAAGGTGTATTGGATATGAGGCAAATTCAAGTTAATGCTAGAAACCAAATAATTATTTCATTGTACAATTAGTAGAGATGGCATACCTGTTGTCTCATGGTAGAAAACTCAGGATGGCTAGCTGCAATAACTGCTTTGAACATGCGAGGAGGAATCCCTTCTTGTTTCTGATATTTTCAGAAGGTTAACAAATGAAAAGATGTTAGCAGACAACTGTCAGGTTTGTTCAAACATAGTATGTAGGGATGATAATAAAATTACTGATGATTTGAGACACAAATTCTATAGCAAAACACCTAAACCATATGCTTCACCAGATATTTTCAGGTCGCACATTTACCACAATATACTTGGCAAATCCATAATATCATCTAAGAATGTCCAAGATCAAAATATACAATGGGAAGCTTACAGCATCTTTTACTGAAGGTGTAGCAGTTCCATCTCTCTGGATGATAAAAAAAAATCAATTAATTCATTAATCAGAGGGAAAAAGCGCCTTTACTAAGAAAAACAGATTGACATGGTTACTGTACCTCTGATGCTGGAAGAGAATATTTCCCAGAAAGCAAACCATGTGCCAGTTTTGTTCTGCCACAACCAAAACGGTTATGTGATCATCGGGGTAGAGAAGACTGAAGAGGCAAAAATATCAAACTACTTACTAAATGCATAGCAGAACAAAGTAGACAGGGAAAATACCAAATCAATAAGTTCAACAACAATTCTATCAAAAAAAAAAGTTCAACAACAACAAACATCAGAATAAGAAGAGAATCATTTGTACATTGTATATAAAATGACATAAAGGATCACCACACAATCTTTGTCGAGAAAGACAGCAATAAAACATCATCATAACTACCAATAGTGGGAACTATTTTAACACAAAATATTGAAAAAAGGAATTAGTAACCAGAATAAGCAACTTACAACTGCATGTCGAGGTCTACAGTTGGATCAGCTGGAGCTGTCTCAAAAGCCATTTTTAAGCTTTGGTTCATATAATATCTGAGAACATAATATAAAAAGAGAGAGAAAGAGAGAGAGAGAAGAGAAGCAAATAAGCATGGGAAATTCCAATTAAGCTTTGCCCAAAAATAAAATCCAAATTTAAGTGAATTCACAATATTAGCTTTATAACTTACCGTCTAAAAAATGACTGCGTCGAAAACACGACTTGCATGGTTGCTGCCATGTAGCAGCTGCATGAGAACAAATTTAGGTAATCAGAAACACTAAATCATTATATTGTTACCAGAAGCCTCAGCCCTATTCACAATCAACATTACCTGTTTCCAAGATTCACGAGACCTGTATAGCCTGGTCCAAAAATTGGTTCCACATCCTGCCCACTTTCTTGAATTCTATTCCAATCAAAGTTGGTATTCTGGTCAAGCTCCCTTTCGGCAGTTGTCATTTCAGTCTAGAAACAGATAGAGATTATAATTTCTAATCAGATGGTACTAATTAATTATAACACTTCAATCTCCTTATTTGTTTTCTGTAAGCTTTGAAACTTACATTCTACAGTAATGATATCACTTGTTTACCAGTCAAGTTATTGTCTGTCGTGATTTATACAAAATATTGTTGTACATAATAAACACAAAAGTACAATTGCATAACAAAATTGCCAATACAACTATAGTATCATAATGTACATGTATCTTAAGGACAACATTAAGCAGCATATAATTAATCAAAAGAAAAAGCTAACCTTTTGCAATGATGAGAAATCGATACCAAAATATGCCAAATGTTCTGCTAGATGTGGGTCTATGACGCTCTCATCCTCTGGGTAAGAGAAAACATCTGCAATGCCAGAATAAGTTACCCAAGGTAAGTTCTGACAAATATCAAAACCAAAGCTCGAAAGAAAGATAATCACCAAACTGTATTTCAGACTTTCAGTGCCAAAAACTCAGACTTTCAGTGCCAAACAGCTTCAATACAAAGATATCTAGGGTTGAAATCTCATCGGTAACTAAGAGCAGAGAGAGTTTAGAACAATTCTGGACCGATGGAAACTTACTAAAACGACACCAGAAAACAAAAAAATATAGACAGTGAAATACAACTATAAGGAAGCATTACCTGCAGCTTCAAGATCAGAAGTAATTGTTCCAAGCTTTACAGCTAGAGGATAGCCAGTCTCCTTGTAGTGCTCAAAGGCATGGTTGTTACCACCAGTTCCATCCCAATTTTTCCTCCCACAGAGGATCATTCCATCAGTGAGATTTAGCCATAGATTATCTGTTTTATCACACTTAGCACATTTCCAACAAGATGGGGGAACAACAACATTGCCAATTTGCTGCAAATCCATTGCATATGTACTTTTTTGCTTCTTATCAGCTGTCCAGGCTGCAACTTGTTCTTTCCGTTCAGCACCCTCAGCCATTAAAATAGCATCAACTGCCAACCTTACCTACAGTATTCATAAGGGATAAACAAGCTTGGTTCTCGTCCAAGATGAAGAATTTCTACATTTAATTTGAGACAATTCATACCTTCTCAGGCAACTCCACAGATGGAAAAGTAAGTGTTACATAGCTAGGCAAAATAACTATGTTGTGAGTTTCTTCATATTCTGGCTCATTGTTTTCAAATCCACCATCAATACCTATAAATCAAATTGCATAGATTAATCAATTTCACCAAAGGTAGTACTACAGCAATAAATCCTTCAGAAAACATTTGAACTTTTCATACTTTGACTTGTAGTTGTAGTGATTTGTAGTTTGACAAGGGTTCAACAAGCAATAGCTCTAATTCTCTAAACATGCTAGTACATGGATAAAATTGTTGTAATTTTTTATTAGCAGCTGCGAGCACCACTTATGCTTTAACACATAATCAAAGAAATTAAATATACTGGCCTCACCGTGTATTATTTAATGGTCTCAACTCAGAATTGCGGACATGATTATGTATTTGACATAGGAATTTTCAATGTTTTCCCTTATATTTGGAGCCGCATAAAATAATAACAAATGTCTATACATTGAGATCTCAAAAACTTAACCCACACTACTGTAAAAATTAAGTGCAAAACAAGAAAGGGACCCTTCTCAGTTCCAGCGTTATCAAGGACATGCAATACACACTCAAGGTGCTAGAGCTGTTATATTTTCTTAAGGCGCACAAAAAAGGGCTTGCCGGAGTAAAGTAAGGAACAGTATGTATATACCGACCAGCCAACATGAACAATAACAAGACAACATAATGTTCACAAGCAGCAAGCGGTAACAGTAAAAAAATAAATAAATAAATAAACCATAAGTACAAGAATATTGTAAAAGTACTACCAATAGCCAAAAGTGTGGGTTTCTTCAATGGCCTATCATCTGAAACCAACTTTTTTGTTTGCTTAATGTGCAGATACACGGGATTTCCAGTCTTCTCGTAATTCCAAGCCACATGATCTTTCCCGAATGCTAGAAATGTATTCATATCAACAAACAATCCTCCTTCTGACCTCTGCAAAAAATTCGACCTCATTTGAGAGTTCTTGAAACAAATTTTGACAAACAGAACCTAAAAATAATACTAATAACAAAAAGAAATGGAAAAATCTTGAGTCAAGAATCTGAGCTTTAACTAACTTCCTCGGAAGCCAAACAATAAATAAGCAAAACAAAGTCGAAACAATCAAAAGTCAAAACACGTATCGTATCAAAAGAGTGTTCTTAGTTAAAATTAGTTACAAAAGCCACGTCATCTTTTCCAAATGCTAGAAACGTATTCATATCAACAAACAATCCTCCTTCTGACCTCTGCGAAAATTCAACCTCATTTGAGAGCGCTTGAAACAAATTTTGAACAAACAGAACCTAAAAATAATACTAATAACAAAAAGAAATGGAAAAAATCTTGAGTCGAGAATCCGAGCTTTAACTAACTACCTTGGATGCCAAACAACAAATAAGCAAAACAAAGTCGAAACAATCAAAAGTCAAAACACATATCGTATCAAAAGAGTGTTCTTAGTTAAAACTAGTTACAAAAGCCACGTGATCTTTCCCAAATGCTAGAACGTATTCATATCAACAAACAATACTCCTTCTGACCTCTGCGAATATTCATCCTCATTTGAGAGCTCTTGAAACAAATTTTGAATAAACAGAACCTAAAATAATACTAATGACAAAAAGAAATGGAAAAAAATCTTGAGTCGAGAATCTGAGCTTTAACTAACTTCCTCGGAAACCAAACAATAAATAAGCAAAACAAAGTCGAAACAATCATAAGTCAAAACACGTATACTATCAACAGAGTGTTCTTAGTTAAAACTAGTTACAAAAGCCACGTGATCTTTCCCAAATGCTAGAAACGTATTCATATCAGCAAACAATCCACCTTCGACCTATGCGAAAATTCAACCTCATTTGAGAGTTCTTGGAACGAATTTTGAACAAACAGAACCTAAAAATAATAATAATAACAAAACTAAATGGAAAAATCTTGAGTCAATAATCTGAGCTTTAACTAACTTCGTCGGAAGCCAAACAACAAATAAGCAAAACAAAGCCGAAACAAACAAAACTCAAAACACGTATCGTATCAACAGAGTGTTCTTAGTTAAAACTAGTTACAACAAATCCAGTAGTTTCTCCAGAAACAAACAGATAACAATCGAGAACTTTATATATAACAAAGAAATGAAAAGAAAAGAGTACCGGAGAATCGAAGGAGAGGCAGCATTCTTGCTTGTAAATACGATTGGTAGGTTCGGGGATCCGAACCCGAGAGAGATTGGATCGGAGCAGGTCCATAGGGTTTATCTCCTCCCTTTCCTTTTGGCTTGATTTAGGTTATAAAGAGAGGGAAAGAATAAGGTTTTTGCCCTAAGTTCAAGCAAATGCAGAGACTTTTTTTCGCCGAAAGAATGATTTTTTTCCCTTCTGAGAATTTCTTCTTTAATTGGGAGAGATAAAGAGGATGCGTGTGCTTTTGAAGCAAGAGTCTTTGCTTATTCCCTCCAAACCTCTTTAGACCAGTAAACAAAATTAATTTTTCTCAAAATATAAACATAATAATAATAAAAATAATAATTTAAATTCACGTTTCCACTCGACTTGATCTTATAAAGTTAATTTTTAAAAAATAATTTTACATCAAATCGAGTTAAAATTTAGATTTATGATAAAAATATATAATCTTATTCGATTTGAAACTAATAATATAATTCACTTTTATATATTTAACAATAATTACTATAATACATTTTTATTTATATTTTTAAATATACAATGAATATATATATATGTTAGATATATTTGTATAATGTAAAGTTTTTAAATTTTACTTTTAAGATTAATTAATAGATGTATGAATTAAGAAATCTCAATAATTAAAGAATTATTGTTATCTCTTAAAATTTAGAGTTAAGGACATTAAAAATTATTATTATTGTTAATTTCAATGTTCATTTTTATTGGCAATAGAAAACTCTAAAACTTAAAAGATTTAATAATTATTATCATATGTGATTTTTTTCTCTTTTGTTCAAATTATTAATAATTTTTTAAAAAGGTAAATTTATATATTTACTCACTAAACTTTATTTTCTCTTCTATTTCACTCACCGTAGTTATAATTTTTTTAATTTAATCAGTGAACTTCATACATTAAAATTTTTAGTCACTGTCAATTTTTCCGTAATTTTGAGATGACATGACACTTTTATTAATTTTTAAATTAAATTAATAATTTCTTTATATTATTTTCATTCATCGTTGCTCATTTTTCGCTCATCTTCTTCATCCATTTGTTCCCTTTCTCCACCACCCATTCGGTTGTTAACAATAGTCTGACCGGTTTAACTCTCAAATCCTCGATATTGTTTTGGGAAAAGCTAAATAAATTGTACCAAGGCTAGCTCAAAACAATGCTAAATAGTTTGCACCACCGCTGACTTAGAACAAAGTTAAACATTCTGCACCACCTCCTACTCAAATGTAGATGCTAGATAATAAGACCTCTATTTTATTTATGTTTATTTGTTTCTCACTGCTGCTTTGATTTTGTTTTATCCTTTGTTCTCCTCTATCTCTGATACTCTATCGAATTTAAAATCAATTTTTTTGGGGTTTAATCTTTGGGTGTTAAATAGGTCTTGATATTTTATGGTAAATTATGTTTGTTTGTATAATTTAGAGTGTATTTTGAATGGGTACATTGAAATGACCATCCAGCTCAGTTGGTAGAGTACAAGGTTCTTAACCTTGAGGTCGTAGATCGAGTCTCATGGAGGACATTTAATAATTTAGAGGTCTCCTACGGAAGCTGCTCTCAACCTAGTGTTGAGGGCCGCCTATTATCTTACCTCCCCTTACCCCATTATATATGAGAACAATGGACAACCATTTTGAATGGGTACATTAAGGAGGTCTTCGATTTTAAGGATGATGTAAGGATGAGGTTTTCTCGTTGGGTGTTTCACACTTGTTTTATTTGATTTTGGGTGTTTGGGTTTAAAAGCTTTGTGTTGTGTTTTCCCCCCTCATTTTTTAAGTTTCAGGAGTGTATTAGATGTTTAAACGATGCTCGTGTTAAATAAAGGCTCATTGGACAAAAGAAAAAAGATGTAATGATTGACTACACAACCTTATCTTCCTCATCGTTGATTCCGAACCTAGAGCTTGAATCCTCATTCGAGTTTAAATCCAAGTCAGATTGAAGGAGGGAGAGAAAGAACATGCCATGTGAGGCTGAATTTGAAAAGAAAAAATGATGGGATAATGGTGTTGGAGCTGTGTTTTGTGAGTCTGGTTACAACTTCTTTGGGGAAGAAAATGTATAGGATAAAAATTATAAGATGAAAAATTTAAGGGATTTTAAAGAGATACATTTTTTTTGATTAAAAAATCTTTTAAATTAGTTATGTCATTAAGGCTGTTACGAGATTAACGATAGAATAGTGAATAAATTAAAAAAAATTAAAAATACAGTAAATTAAATAAAAATAAATAAAATTCAGTGAGTAAACATATAATTAACCCTTTTTAAAAATATTTGTTTTTTTAGACTCACGAGTTATAACAACAATAATCATCTTCGAAAATCGTCAAACAATTTTTCCTTTACCGAGTTGAAATACATAAAATTTTATTAACGATTATATTTTAGTACGGTTTTTATCGTTTAAAGTACCAAATTGGAAACAATGTACAATACAGAAACTAAATATGCAATTAACCCTATAAAAGAAACCCTCAAACAATCGCGGCATATCACTTGGATCTTATTGGAACAAGCGATCACTGTGTCTGCCTGCATCGTCCTCAGCTACGTGTACGACTCTACCATGCGCCACTCCACCGCCGCCGCCGCCGCCTCTCACTACCTTCACGGCTGAAATCAAAATTATTCTCTGCCGGCGACGGTAGTTGCACCGGCTTCGTTTGCAGCCATGTCGAGGTTAATTGTATTCTAGAAAATTCTCTTTTATTGAGATTTTTAAAAGAACTCGTATTACTTTCTGGTGTTTTAATTGTATTGATCGGAATGGGCTTAAATATTCGCAATAGGCTTAGTTTACTGAAGATACTGCCTTTTGCTATTGTTTAGGTTTAGTTTATAAATTTATGGTCGAGTTTTGAATTCTATTTCTTTTAGTTTCATCTTCAATAGTGTAAATGATAGTGCCAAAATATATTAAAAAAGGCTTTTATTTATTTGAAAATGTTATAGATATAGATAGAGTTAATTTTATTGTTTCCAGTTTGGTTGTTCTTTCATCTTTTTGAATTGAAACATGTTTTAACATTGTGCAGATTATTGGGCTATGGAAATGCTGGGAGGGTTGGCCGATCAATTCGTTCAAACTGGAAGAGTAGCTTCCGGGAATCGAATAATAATGGGGTGCATCCGAAAGTTGAGTTCCCTTTCTCACTTTATAGGTTATACTCACAGCATAAACATTCGTTTAGAGAAGATACTATGCCTTTTACATTGTACAAAGTAATGGAAAGATTATCTAAGAGTTATCAGCCCCGGAGCTTCCATGCACTTTCGCCTAGCTATGCATTTTCGGTAAAACCACATTACTTGGAAGAGGCTTTTTCAAGTGTTTTACTATGATGGTCCAGCTTTGACACCAATAAGTAGAATTGCCCGTGCAGCAAGTCTGGCTTTAAGTAGGTCGAACCTCATAGCTCCTGGTGTTATTGCATTCTTACTCGGAGAGCTAGCCTGGGCCCAGCCGAAATGGGCAGAGGCAGAAGGCTTCTCCGCAAAGGATTCTTTTTATTTGCAAGCACAAGATGGGCATGTTTACTTGGCATCATTTGTATTTTTCCTTTTGGAATTTGTAATTTTGTTATACAGAGCTATCTATTTAGCGATTTTGTTTTTACCCAGCATAGCAATGGTTCCCTTTGTGGATTCTCTGGGTGTTGAATTCAGAAAAAAATGGCTTCATATTCTCCACCATACGCTAGAAAAAGCAGGCCCAGCGTTTATAAAATGGGGTCAATGGGCTGCGACTAGACCGGATCTGTTTCCCAGAGATCTTTGCGATGTACTTTCTGAACTTCATACAAAAGCTCCATCACATAGTTTCTCTTTCACAAAGAAGTCCATTGAAAATGCATTTGGTCGAAAGTTATCTGAAATCTTTGCAGATTTTGAAGAGGAACCTTTGGCATCTGGAAGTGTTGCTCAAGTTCATAGAGCAACATTAAAGTATAGATATCCTGGTCAGCAGACCAAGCCCATTGTAGTTGCTGTAAAGGTTCGCCATCCCGGGGTTGGTGACGCAATTAGAAGGGACTTTATGATAATTAACTCTGTAGCTAAATTTTCAAAGTTTATCCCTACGTTGAAGTGGTTGAGATTGGATGAAAGTTTACAACAATTTGCTGTTTACATGATGTCTCAAGTTGATCTTGCTAGGGAAGCTGCACAACTAAGCCGTTTTATCTACAACTTCCGCAGATGGAAGGATGTCTCATTTCCGAAGCCTCTATACCCCTTGGTGCACCCCGCGGTTCTGGTAGAGACTTATGAGCACGGAGAAAGTGTTTTGCACTATGTGGATGAGCTTGAGGGACATGAACAGATTAAAAGTTCCCTAGCTCACATTGGAACACATGCACTTCTAAAAATGCTTTTGGTATTATCCTCTTGTTCATTCTTTCAATCATTTTTATTATTTCATTTCTTCTTCTAGTGGTGGTTAAACCGCTTAGCATTGCATTAGATCGTTTGTGCAGTTTCTTCTACACTGTATGCTCTGGTACTTGATTTCCTACTTTGAATCTGAAAAGTTCATGTGTAAGTCATGCTATGATTTAAAGATTGGGTTTAAACTTATGGGGTTCCTTTCTTCCTCTCCAGGTAGATAATTTTGTTCATGCGGTCATGCATCCTGGAAATATTCTTGTCCGTATAAAAGATAGACGAACACATAACCAACTCTTTAGTTCAAGGCCTCATGTTATCTTACTTGATGTGGGCATGACAGCTGAACTCTCTGGGGCAGATCGATTGAACTTACTGGAGTTTTTTAAGGCTGTTGCCCTTCGAGATGGTCGCAATGCTGCTGAGTGCACACTTAGATTATCTAAAAAGCAACGTTGCCCCAATCCAAAGGCTTTTGTGGATGTAATGCACTATGGTGGATTTAACATACTTATTTTCCATACCATCATAAAAGTTTGTAGGACTGTCATTTGAAGAGTTTGTTTATCCAAGAATTCATCAACATATTTCATGGTTTTACCACGTCTTTTTTAAGCATTCAACCATGTTTTCATATCAAAATTGGTTTATTGGACAAAGTTAGAACCTTGTAGACCAAGCATTTGACTTTGGAGCAGAAATACCTAATGATGAATCTGTTTCTTCTAGTAATGGAGTACCATTTTGTGGACCATGCATTTCATCTCTATTCTGGATAATTGGAACCTTTCTTAGATTGTAAAATGCAATTAATTAGGTTAGTGTGCTTTAAAGGCCTAAGCTTAAACTCTAGGCCTTCGCTCTCTATTGTACCCAAAAGAAATGATTTAAATCTATGCGTTTTACATTGCTGTGCAGGATGTTGAGAAATCTTTCGATTTATGGGACTCCCCAGTTGGCGAGTCTATCCACCCAGGCGAGTGCATACAGCAACTGCTTGAGCATGTTAGACGTCATAAAGTCAACATTGATGGAAATGTTTGTACCGTAATCGTTACCACCTTGGTTCTCGAGGTAATGCAGTCTTTGCCTGCTATTTATCTCAGACTTCTCTTCCTAAGAAAGTTGTTGACTTC